TTCACGGTCTCAACAAATGACAAATCAAAAGCCACAAGCAATATATATGGTGTGGCTGTATCTAGGGGAGGAAGAACATCAAAGGAATGGACTCCCAAGGAATCTTGTTCAACACCTCCAACGCAATCATCCAAATCCGTACAAGAAAGTGAGTGATGAAATCTTATTGAATAAGAAGAACCAAGAGGAAACAAAATTCCTGCTTTGATCGCATCCTATTCCTACTGTAGCTGAAGAGGCTGTAGATGATGTTGAAGGGCAAACAATGTGCCTACCACAGAGACTTCTACCATGAACACGGCTTTAGGTAAAAAAAATCAAATTTGTCATCCAAGAGAGCGAAGACTTATGAGCACCAACAGACGCTAGATAAAATGGTGAAGAATAAACCTTGGGGTCGAAATGACAAGTGGACTCTCAAAAGCCACACCTCATTACTGCCTCCCTAGTCATCAGCATCTGAGTGATGCTATGTTCCTCCCAATGAAGGAAAAGGCTTCAGAGAAGCTCCATCAAATCCTTGCACAGGAACCTAATGTTTGTTTCACCATGGACATCTGGAGTGATGTTGAAGCCTTCCTTTCTCTAACAGTCCAATTCGTGGATTCAAACTTTACCTTCCATTCAACTTTGCTACACATTTCACCAATTCATGGTAGTCATACTGGAGAAAACATTCAGGACAAGGTTGATGCCATGCTCACAGAATGAAATATCAGTAAAGATAAGAGTGCATTGCATTGTGAGCTTCCCACAAGCTCCCAGCAGGAGCAAAGCCATGAATATCAGCTGGATTTTTTGACTAGGGAGCATACAGTATGGCCAATGATTACTTTCATGTGAAGCTTCAAATGGTTGAAAAAAAGGGAACAAAACAAAAAAATTAGATTTAATATATGTGAATCACTTATGTCTGGACCAACTAGTTAGATATTCCTAAAACTCTGCCTATTACTTTTACCAGTAATGCTAATCATTGATGCATGGAATGACTTGATGGATCACCAATAGGTGACTAGGATCAAGTAATCTATCTAATAGTTTCACATCATGAAAATGTTAGAAAGCTAAATAAATTGAAGCAACTGAGGAATTAAGTTTCAGTGTTCAAGATTTACTGATGTCTGTACCTTGCAATAAGTGGCACACCTAGATTTTGCTTAAGCTAGAAGGAAAACTTCATATCAGGGATCAGCAGGTTTCTGGACATGCCCACTTGGAAATGAGAACTAAGTCATTCATAAAAGAAGCCTGCACACTGTCATATAATTGACATGAAGAAGCAGACAAGAAACCTTCAGAGAAATAACAAATGGCAGAGAGTTAACATTAGAAAAGCAGCAAGTTTATATCATCTGCCATTGAGAGGTGCCTTGGAAAAAAACAGGTTGAATGTTGCACATATATATGGTAACTTGGATATTTCTCTAACAATAAATGAATAGATGCTAACAAGATATTATGCTCTCATGTAACAGAATATGCCATTTTGAACATTTCTTAGAAGAGCAAGATTTGACATTTTTAATATGGGAGATGATAATTGGAGAATGTTTACCTTTTCATTGGAGAGCTAAGATTCCCATCTTCCTTGTGCTGTGTCTGAAATAAGGGCAGCTTTTGCCCACTTCAATTTTGAAATTTCATGGTTGCCATTTGTCAAATCAACAGCGATACAGCAGTGCCTAAGACAGGAAACATAGTTGGATGGTTTAATACCATCTTGTTTCAAAAGAAAATTGAAGCAAAAGTAAAAATTCCTGGCATAAGGTTCACTTACTTGAAAGAATCTTCCACTGGTCTCCATTTCCCTCATCTGAGACTGAAGGCACAACACTGAGAACTCCAGGGAACCCTAGATACACATTCTTCAATCTTTCAGCTTTGGCTGCTTTAACTTCTCAATACCTCTTCTTGTGACTGGTTCACCTGATGATGGCTGTTTCCTCTTGCCCACCCAAGGACCCAATGGCAGGTCCTCATCTCATCCTTAATATGGAGCACTTCCTGTTTCTCAAAATGCCTTCAAGATCTTCATTCACCGTGACACGAAACTCCTTGCTGCTTTCTCATACTGTCATTCCATTTTTTTTGAACGGGACTCATGTCCAATATCCACTGAAACTGAATGTGAAACTGATTTTCAGATAACGGCATGGGTGTCTCAAGTTTATTCATGTGTTAATAGGAATCAAGACACAACTCATCTGCCTAGTTTCCTCTCAATTTCAGTCAAAGAGAAATTTTACCACCAGTTGAGAATGGTTTAAGCTCAGCTGATGGGATGTACAGTAAATTGCAAAATTGACTTCACATGGCCAGTTAAAGTTAACCTTTAGTTTCTGCTAGCTGGGCTAATACAATCAAGTATACATAATAACATAATCAACAATGACAAGTCACTGCAAGGCCTGCCAACTGCAAGTTAGGTGAATATGAATCCTCAACATGGATGGCCTCTGTCCATGAGAGCACTCGTGCTCGAGAGAGAAATCGTGGTGCTCTGCTTTCTTAACAAAGTGCAAATCATTCAGTGGCACTATACCACGAATGACAAAAGTGAACCTGCTCTTAGCCTACAGCAAGGGTTTATGTGCATAGCCATGTATTTGGCTTATGTCCCAGTGCACAGCATATCATTGTTCTCACAGACTTAGGCTGGCTTAAGACCTCAATACTCTTAGCTTGGCCTATCTCAAAGACGAGGCGAGTTACGCCTATTTCTCAACTTGAGGAGACGCAAGTAAGCCGAATGGTCGTGCTTACGCTACCCTTCGAGGATTTCTTACGTACCTTACGTATCAGAAGCCTCGCAATTGCAAGTTTTCACAGTTTGCTTTGAGGAGCTCACAAGACCATCGGATGTGACGTAAACAGCGACCTACAACCTTAGCTCAGTGCCTACAATGGGTCGACTGTGCAGCAGTGATGTCCCCAACTCCAATTCGTAGAGCACAGAATAGATATCAACGGTTGCCCTTTCTTGGTTGCCCAAGGCAAACTCAATTGAAAAAGAAGTTGCAATCAATTGACAATAACATCATCCTCGCCTCCCTCACGAGAATCCCAGTTATGAAGAGTGGACCGGAATCGATGGTGCTGTCCTCTACCGTTTTCTGCATCTCATATTTGTCTCATACGAGGGTGCTTTGCAAATAAATTCGAACCACCATCGAGCAGTTATTTCAATGGTACATTCTAAGTAAAGCATATCTCCCATTATAAACTTGACATTAGGCACATGGAGCCCGTGTTAAAGGTGGCACGAAACACTGTACTGGGATTCTCGATTAATTTCATCCCCATCCCCTTCTAAATGGTGCCACATGTCATGCAACTAGAGCGACGTCAGCCTTCTCAAAATAACAACAGTGCTTTCGCGACGAGTTCACATACACAGGGGTGGATGGTCAAACCGGACATCGTTCGCACAGCGACGGGCAGGCGGCCTCGTTTCCCATATTGTCAGAAATCTCGACTTCGCCAGTCCCCTCTCTTGGATATCGAAAAGATTCGCCCGACTGCCTACCGGTGTGTAAGTGAGATCCGTTTTGGTCATCCAAGTCTCCCCCTTGTGTAACCCTCACTTGCCAAAAATCGTCTTGGCACAATGGGTGACCAGATCCGTTTGACTTTAAACGGATTCGGTGCATGTCACCCAATGTGACTTTTTTTGCGAAGGTTAATCCGAGTTTTTATTTATTCGAAACAAATTTGTCTCTTTTTTTTCATTATCCAACTCGGTGAGAAATTTCATGGTGTTCCCCCAATGCATTCAGAAACTTTTTATTTACAGAGAAGGGAAAAGGTGACATTCTTCACTATATGTACCTGAAGTGAGTTCCCGCGGTGACATCGATTATCCTATTTATTTTTACCCCACTTTCTCGGAAATCAGTCTTCGTAGAAAATTGCCGTCGGCAAGCAATGGACGCTTCCCCAGCAAACAATTTGAAACACATAATGTTGAATTAACGTTGAATCAACATTGAATGAACGTTCGGAACGTTGATATAACGTTGATCCAACGTTACCTTGTTTGCTGGGTCGTGTGTCTCACGCGTGATGGAACCAAGGCAAGGCGAAGTTCCAAGGAGTTTTTCTCTGAACCGAGAATGGTAGCGATCACCTGAAAATACGTTCCAGTCCTTGGTGCCCTCTCACGTATGCATGAGAAACTCGTCCATGCCAATTTTAAAACTGCTCAGCGGAAATTGGTGACGACTGACATTTTCCAGACTCCGTGCCACTCGAGACTCACAACGCAGACTGAAGCGGATCGGAAGGAATATGCCCATCTCCACTCGGAGGAGAAAGGCACGGTCGACGAGCCCCTGCTCCAGGCGGTCATCCAGGGTATAAAAAGCCAATGGGATCAACGTTCGAGAGTGCATCGCATCTCTGTCTGCCTTCCAATTCGGAAATCCACCTTCCTGTAAGTCGTATGTATTTCATTTTGCAGAGCGTGGGTGGTTGGCTGTGGCCCCTAATCCTTGATTGGAGGATTGCATATTTACTAACAAGGAAAGCAGAAAGTAGAAGTCATCTCATCAGCATGAGCTGTATAAGCTTGGCACTGAGATTGCACTTTGAAGCTCAACCTCCATGCAAACACTCATGGAAGGGAAAATGTCAAACACAAACAACAGTTGAACATAAGTGAATACTTGGTGTAGGGTAAACACCCCAGTTTTTGGCCACACTGATACGACTCCCATAGGAAATGGACACCCTGTGCGCACACTGGGAAACACTAATAATAGGTCCTCACACAGGAACATATTGATAGAATACTTGAAAACGGCCAGAACTAATTATGCTGGATTTAGGCCTCACTGGCCAACAACTGGAGACTGGTCAGAAACCGGGGTGCTTACATTAGTTTGGTGTGCTGAGTAGAATAATGAGACTCAAGGAGTTTTTTTCTTCTAATCTTTATATGAAAATAAAAACACAACTTCTCGAGAAAATTGTCCAAAGTAGTCAATTGAGATCAGCATTTACCAAATCTCTTTAATGAGAGATTTCCAGTGCCGTGGGAGGATTTTAGGATCCTTGCGATGCAGGAGGAACTTCTCCACGATAACAATCTCCCGATACAGAAGGAAATCGGCCATCTCCACGGTCTCAGCACAGAGGTTCAGGAGCTCCCGGAAAGATGATGGAAACTTCTCTTCATACAATTGCTCCACTTTTGGCAGGTTCTTACGGTTTGTGTACCAGAGCTGTTTGTCATGCTCCATCCAATACTCAGTCATGGGTATCAGATGGTCAATAGAGTGGTTGTCAAAAGTCTGGCGCAGGATATCCATCTTGAAGTTGGGTATCTCAATGCCTTCATGTTCAGCCAGTTGCTTCAGGGCATCATGCCGTTCCAGGAATTGCTCTGCAACCCCTCGATTTGGATACAAGGATGGAGCATATGAGGCCAGATAGTCCGTATCACGGTCCGGGTCTAGTTGTCTCTTTTTATCTGTTGAGGCAAGGAAAATATTTGTTGGAATTGCTACTTCAATGGAATTATTACAATGCCTCAATGGATTATTGACCAATTCACTAAAACATGCAGGGTCCATGTTTCTATTGACATCTAATATGGCATCAAGTCCTACAAGACAAACACAGTCTAAAACCACAACTGAGGCTAAAAATATGTAAATTTATATATTTTCTTTATCATCAAACTCATCAATGTAATTTGATTAAAAATGAGTTACCATTTCATGCATCTCTTCATGATCATCAAGGCTACAGTCAACAACCCAGGCAAGCAGCAATGGAAAATAGTGGAAATATTGGCCAATAATACATTTTTGCAAACTCCATGCAAAAACCAGCACAAGGAAAGGAGTAGGCTAATACCAGCAAACACTTTCCAAGCAGAGCAAATTCTATGAATAAGATTCCTAATTGCAAGAGGGCAAAATATTATGATAGGCATACTTGAAACAATACTTGGAATCTTTTTCTTCATGAAAAATTAAATTATGGCCATGTTGAGCACAGTTCAATGTGATCTGGACAAGTAAAATATATATTCTGGTAGAATAGAGATGATAGGAGGAAGAATAATTGAAAGCAGACTGCAGTCTCTTACTCTCACCTTTCTTCTCTTTCGTTCGGAAATGTCGGGGGGTTGCCTTCCCATGGGAATAGCAGGTGAAATGTCTTTCTAGGGCATGAAGGTCAAGGGCTGATAGAAGCTGGAAGTCCCGTTTTGGGTGGATGAGACATGCAAATGGATGTACCATCTTTACCAGCCGATTCCTATATTGCACGTGCTCAAACCAGTCCGAATACACAAACAGCTGGCTCCCCTCTGTCAAATCATATTCCAACACACATTATGGAAATGAGAAGAAAAGGGGGAAAATAGAATCATTTGGAGAACAAGAAGAAATGAAAGTAGACTGAAAATAACTGAAATGAATAAAAAATACAAGCAAGACCTTGAAATATACTGATGTTTTGATAAAAGTTATGACTATGCCTGTCAGCTAGCAGGTTAATGAATTGACTAGTTTGGCTTCAGGAAGATATACTCAGAAATAAGTTAGGGTGGAATACCTGCATTTGTTTGGACATCGGGTCTTTGCTTTTCAGTGACACCATCAAAGCAAAAGAGAGCCTTCAATGCCACAATGATGAGAGCCATCATACGGCCTTCATAGTTTGGCAGGGACATGAGGCGATCTCCCTGGGAAACCTCCCTGGAAGAATTAGTCATTTCAGGTCTGAAGCTCCAGCCAATATAATACATTCACTGCCATGTATGCCTTGTGGTATTCACAAGAAATCATATTACATCTGTCAACATCAAGTTCATTCAATCTAGTTTAGGTCACAGTTAGTATATGCAGGGTGACAAATGGTCTTGTTGATGGTTCGTTCAGGTTCCAGAAAGTGCAAATTTTTTATAAATTATTTTTTAAAAGGCCCGGTGAATCAACTGGAAGCTTTTAGATGTTGGCAGTGAATGTGTTAAAGAGACACAACTAAGGGCTCAGAAGGATCACCTGGTTCTGTAATCGAAGTTCACTAACATCATAGGTGGCTCATCTCCGATGTACTGCTTGATGAAATCAAGGAAACCAACTGGGAAGAAAATATTTTCTCAAATAGACCAGACCCACCTCTTGAAGAATACATCATGCTCAGATGAAGTCTATTCAGTACATATTTCATACCTCAAAGAACATGCACCAGTAAATACAAATTCATGCACTTCATCTGTACATAATGCATAGTAGACATATCTGGCATGAGCAGAAATTATAAAAAAAACTTAAATTCACGAAAATCTTCTAAAAAGATGGAGAGAACATTTGGACAAATTTTAAGATACTTTCCCCTTGTGAAGTCTCAACATCCCTGTATATAATGCTCATATCTCCTATAAATAAACACATTTCCTTTGATATAACGACTTAAATGGAACCTTGAGTGAGGAAACAAGAGCTACAGGAAACATATCTAGTCTACTGACAGAAAGTTCAAGCCTTTGTATATTTTATAAATCCAGCAATACAAATTGAGAAAAAAGCAAGATGACAACATTTTTTGGTGCTGGTATTCAAGAAATGAATTCATTGCATACTATTGGAGAGTCTGTTAACTAGTGACCATGGCTAAGTCATCCCTGAGATTATGAAGAAAAGCAAGTGCATTACTAAGGCTGAAGTGGTTAACTTATAGGCTCCAATGCTCTACAACACAGACAACTTTGAATAATGCATGAAGACTTTGCATTAATAAAAAGCACATTAATTAAACTGCTTAAGGGAAACCTGTTCATCTTCCATAATTCAATATTAGAAAAAAGCATCTCAAGGAAGGTATTTCCAAATTCTCCCAAATAGTCCAAGAAATGGATGATTGAAAACTTGACACCTGGAAGAGAGAGTTCCCTGATGAGTCGCTTGAGAAGACCTGGGAGGCCACGACTTGGGATGGCCCCCCCACACAGGAACTGGCCCAGGACATACGTGTACCCATTAACTGACTCCAATGTTGGCAGCTGCATCACAAGACCCCATGTCACTTATGTATAATGGGAAAAAACCAGTGGGAGTTCTAGTGCAGACCTGAACGTGACTCTTGAGAGCAAAGACATTGATGTCATGGCGTGTGTAATGAAGACCATCTGGTAGGAAATGACCAGCAGTCAGGAATGGTATGTGCCCCTCACGGATCCACCTATTGAATATTCTTTCTGAGCTTTAAATGGAAGGAGTGTGAAAATGCACATTTCATCCCATAAAAGAATGCTCATTAAACACATTACCACCCCATTGCAATGAAATAGCCTTAACCCTTTTTGTGCATGGTGTCTACTGTAGTGGACAGCAACATTTTTGGTGATGATGATGGGTCTTTAGCCATAGTAGACACATCTCAAAACTTTTGGTGCATGCACTCAACTAAAGGGCATATAATCTGTTCAGTGTTGCTTTCTAGTGGTTAAAAATCGTGACTACTACAGCAGAGTACCTCCTTAAACGCTAAACCAAAAAGGGCATATTTTTGTTTTGCTTTGAAAATTCATGCATGGGAGGGTTCTGTATCCAGTTTATATCCAATTTATATGCAAACTAATGTGAATTTTCTGCTTCTTTCATATAGGTATCAGTAAGCAGAGTGTATGGAAAGGCCTTAGTAAGGGTCACTGAACTTTTTTGTTAAAAAAGTGGTGAGAAACTCATAAGAACTACAGGGAAGTGTCCCAAGCTTTTGCAGAAAAGTTTCCAAATGTTGTTGTGCCAAGTAGACAATCAATTTACAACTTGAGCAAAAAATTTGCTGATACTGGGCCTTTGAAGGATGATGCTCCAAGAAATGGATGCCTCAAATCAGCTACTTCCAAAGAAAACCAGAAAATTGTTAGTTTTAAAACAATCAGGAACTGTGCAGATCAATTTGTAATAGTATGACAACCAGATGCAAAAAGTACATTTAACAAAATGGTAAGCATTTTGAGCAGTTTTTTTTTTTACATTTTGATATATGACTTGGTACATTATTAAGGTTAATAGAACATAATTATTATAACCTAACATAATAAAGGTACACTTAATAAAAAAAAGAGAAATATCAGGTAACCACAAAAGTTTTTGCTGTTTATGAGTCATATTACACTATTGTTATTAAGTTAAAAGATACTAATAGTAGTAAGCATAACTGCCTTCTTAAAGCAACCCATAACTTAAACATTTGTTATATCTTATTTGCATGTTAATACCATCTAATTTAGTAAAGCCAAGAAAATATTTAAATGGAGTCGTTGAAGCTCATCAGATGTCGTTTACTCTATGAGTTTAAACTTGGTAACACTGCTGCAGAAGCCACTAGAAGAATATGTTTAGCATTTGGAGAGGATGCTGTAAAGGAACACACAGCAAGAAATTGATTCCAAAAATTCAGAATCGGGGATGAATCGCTTGAAGATGCACTACGTAGCGACTGTCCTGTGACCATCGACAATGAAGCCTTGAGATCTGCCATTGAAGAGGATAGCAGTCGAACATGCCAAGAACTTGCTATAAAGGCTTTCTTCTCTTCCAAAAACAGGGACTTCTATGAGAATGGTATTTATAAACTTGTTTCAAGATGGGAAAAGGTGATTGAATCAAATGGAAACTATTTTGCTGAATAAAATTGGTTTTTAACACAAATTTTGATCTTTTTTAACGAATATTAAAAACGGCAAAAACTTTTGTGGTTACCTGATAGTTATTCTTGGTAAAGGAACTTCTGGCCACTCTGTATTTTACAGTGATTTACACTTTTCCCCATTTAAATTTACACAGGTGGAAAATAAGTGGACAGGATAAAGCTGCTCATCTTGAGTACAGCAAGGGAACTCAGTATGAGGATTGTTAGGCACCATTCCTCATGAAGATTAACTTGAACATTGAAACTTTCAATAATTAAGTAGAGGAAACTGGTCCTGAGGAATATCCAGCCTAGTGGACCTGGACCTTAGTCTTCAGCTACTTCCATGACATAGGCAATGAAATTGGCCAGCCTATGATCATGTAGATAATGGTTGCATAAATATAAAATTCAATTGTACACATAAGTTGACAATATACAAATGTGAAATAGACCAAAGAATCCATAAACAGAAAAAAAAAAGACAGAATGCATAAAGACCAAAGAAGAAAAAGAATAAATAAACATGAAATGAATTCATTAATGTGCAGAATATGATGAGAATGAGAGTAAAAATCAGAAGCAATCATATCATCATCATTAAACTAGACCAGGGGATCTCAAACTATGGCCTGCGGGCGAGATCTGGCCCGCTTTAAGTTGTGACTGGCATGATTCTTTTGAACCCCAATTTGCCTGGTTTATTATTTAAATATTTCAAATATTCTACAATCTCATCTGCATTTCGTCCACTGTTAAAGAGCTATTTCATGTTCCTCTTCTCTAGCACTGGGGAGACTCACAAGTGAGATCTTGTCAGTGAACCACTTGCATCTCACTGCCCTTTCATTCTTTGAATTCAGGCACTTTTTGATACCCAGTGATTGACCACACACTTAATAGGGCATGTAGCAGATGTTTTCAGGAGTTTGCCAGGTATGTACCGCGTCTCTTTGGGGATCCCAAGTCAGTACTCATGTTCACCAAAACCTCGGGAGTATTTTTCCATGCAGCAAGTGTGTCTTTAAAAATTCAGTGTCATTCCATTAATTGATCTTCAGCGAAACGAGTTTCAATCATTTTAGATGCAGAATACTTATTTCTCTCTTTTTTTGAGGGCATTCATGCATAATCTGTTTTTTTTTTACTAAGTACTAAGCATTGAATTGTGCCAAACTTCAAAAGAAGGTTGATAGTGAGTGCCAAAAGCTTCGAAGTCACTGGGAAGTTATTTTATTTTTGAAGACTTGAACAGCAAGGTCATGTGCTCGATTTGTCATGAGAAAAATTGCCATCCTCAAGGGGCATGCTCATAAAAGGCAATACTAATAAGATTGCACAGTAAAGATTTTGGAGGGACTATGGCATGAAATAAGTGAGCAATTTCAAACTGAGAGCATCTCGCATCCAACAATCATGAATTGGATTGAAAGACTTGTCCTGTCATCTTCACGAGGAAATGCGCTCAAGGGCTCAAAACATCACGTACTATTCCACAAAGAAAGAAAAATGTGCTCTGAGGAATACAGAAGTCCTCTAATCAATTCGTCCAAACCTAGTATTTGTATTGGTATTGGTATTTCTAGCAGAAGTGAAAGTTCATGTGAATGACAAGCTTCTTCAAGGTCAAGGTTGCAATTGCTTCACCTTGAACTTTCGTTCAGCTGTGAGTGCTTTCAAAATGAAAATGCTGCTTTGGGAACATCATCAGGCCAAATTCGTGGAACGATTTCGGGATTTCTCCAGGCTCAAGGAAGAAATTCGGCCGCTCCATTTTCCATTCAATGCGAATGTTAGGAAAGTACCTGAAGAAGTGCAAATAGATGCCATTGAACTGAAATCTTGGCAAACGAACAGAAAAAAAAAAACATTCATGGACCTGTCTCTTCTTCATTATGCCTTAATCAAATTTCCATCATGTCTCTGATAAACAAGCTCTGTTTAAACAAAAAATTGAGTGCTTTCTGCCCTCTTTATTTATTTAAACTTATATATTATTGGTTCATAATCGAGTGGCCTTCAAGAAGGAAGTTACTGTCCATGCGGCCCACAAGCTCAAAAAGTTTGAGTGCCCCTGGACTAGACTATCTCAAGCCTTGTGGGGGAAATGAGATAACACAAAACCTGAGAATGTCGAAGAGAAAGATGTTGGGATCCCTGACGACAAGGACTCCAAGGTATAAAACCTCAACCAGGCGATAGATGGTAAGCCTGAGAATCAGCTTCAAGGGAACCTTGTTGAGCACCTCCCTCACCAAGCTTCTTCCTTCCTGCCTGCAAATTCATGTCACACCATGTCTGTCTCAAATACTGTTCATGAAAAAAAAATTTCTCTGAAATGGCACATCAACTATACTTTCAAAATTTCTTTTGCCTAGTAATGGAAGCACTGGCAAGAAACAATAATGCCTTTATTTTTCAATTAGAGCATAAAGAAGGGGGTGCCTGCTTGACCCAGACCATACCAAGGCAGCTTGATTGTCTAGTCATCCAACTAGCAGGAATGATATTTTCTAGCTGTCTTACACCTATATCTCAAAGACAAAATACCTAAAGGAGCACTATACCAGTACAAGGTAAATGCTCCTTATGCTCCCTCAGATTGTAGGCAGATGCTTATTGCCACAGAAGGGCTTGTCATTGCCAAAGCTCAACCCTGGGTAAGATTTGGCAACTCTAACCAATTGACCTCTGAACCTTGTATCCCTTGGTGATATCCCAATTACATGTGAACAACAGCTAAATCAACCATGAAAAACTAATGTAAACTAAGGATATGCCAAAATTAATTGTGAAGCAGAAGTAGCTCCTCCTAGCCATTATTGTCAAAAAGGCAGAGTAAGAATATAACTAGTCCATAGATCCAATATTTTTTTCCCATTTTGTCTTCCTATCCAAAAGTAACAATAAGTGACTAAAGGAACATACAACTTGACACGATCTTCATCACTCATGGGGAAGGCCAACCGCAACCTCTGCAAAGTGAGAGCCAGAAATAGTTAAGGAACTCCTTGCAAAATGTAACCAATTTCAGCTATTGGTTTTAACTGTTTGCAAGCAGGAATAGTCTGCATAGTATAAACTAATTTGTTACAGTATTTCATTGCTTAGATGAGAAGGAAATGGTTAGTAACTTTTGACCAATTTTGATCAGTGAACAACAGAATCACAGAAACAAATTACTTGCAATGCAGCTTGTATGAGATAAAGATTGAAAACAAGAACTCCTTGCACAAGGGAGATTTGTGGAACTTACTGAGAGGTAAAGAGTCCAGATAAGGCCAACAGCATTAACAAGATCCTTGGAGGCACCAAACTGCACCAGGATGTCTGTCATGTGACGCAGGATCCCTGTCAGCCCCACTGGATGTGACCAATCCCTCAGCTTTGACTCTTATAACACAGATCCAACCATCCATGACCAGTCAGAAAGATAGTCCATTCATGGTATCAATAAACCTCTTCAATATCAAAGAGAATGCAAATCTGATATCAGTCTGTGATGAGAATGTAGCATGTTTCAGAAGACAAAATGGACCAAATTGTTTTCTATGCACCAACTATTCTCCTCAGATATCACAGAATCTATCCAGGAGCATAGTTGTCCTTTTCATGCAACTGTTCATTGAAGAAGCATGGCATGAAGATACAAATTTAGGAGAGATAGCAAAAGCGACATTGGTAATCATCCTTGGTAATAAAATGAGTTTCAGTTTGATCTTCATTTTATTATTCTTTCAAGCCTCTAGCCTGAACTTTCAGACAAAGTAACAGTTCCTCAAGATGAATTTCCTTTGCATAACAAGCTGTACTTCCTTCTGTAAATTAAGACACAAAAAAAGGTCTGGACTTGAATCAATAAATCTCTGCTCTTACAGAAGCTGTTTTCATAATCTTCCAGTCCACATAGGTTGACACATTTCCAATAAACTTGTGAAATTTCATAAGAATTCATCGTGCCAAGGAAAGTCTATGGGCAATTATTCAAGGAGTTTGAAAATGGAAAGGAACCTGTCTAGGTAGTCAAGAGAAGGAACACCTTCACATTCTGCTAACTCATTATTCAAGGCCCATTGAACTTTTCCCCATTTCCTTTGATAAACTTTCCAATTGATAATTCATGAATCAAAAATATGAATAGAAACTTTACTGCTGGTTTTACCAGAGTTTCTCCTGGTATACATATTAAAAAATATGGAGGTGGAGTATATCCCTCAAAAGGATATGGAGTTAACTGTCTATTTTCAAAGTCTGATATTGGATGCATTTGTCCAGACTTGGTCAATCATTCATTGCTTTATATCATAACAAGACTTGTTACATTAGAACCACTTTCATAAATGAAATTTAAAAAAAAAGGAAGAACAATGAAATGATCCTATTACATTTGCAGTAATATGGACTATGACCACCGTAGCAAAAAGATCATGCAACACCCTGTTCATAAGGAAACAAGATGGCAAGATGACTGCTTGGAACTAACTGGTAGAGGAGGCAAGGGAGGTATCCGATGAGCATCTGCGCTTACGGCTTCCCCTCAAACGGTAATGGGATGAAGAATGATCAAGTGAGAGTTCCACATTGCTATCCTGAGATTGGATATGGCAATTCTGGCAGAAGTATCGCCCAGCTTCAATGTCAAAATTAGTGCCACCACAATTCTCACATGTCACCATAGTGGCTGCACCTCACTTATTGCAGTCATGTAACACTCCACCAAACCAACAAAAAAAAGAACAACTGACTTAAAACATAAAAAGTTTATTCTTATGAAACAGGATGGTGCTTTGGTCACTTTATTTTCACACATACAGAGTACCTTTTCTTTCTTTTTTTATTTCCAAGAAGTTTGGCATGCTCTTGACCTTGGAGGTTGGTTTCTTTTCTTTTTGTGTATTTAATCAAATTGAACATTTCCTTTATCATATATTTGCGGATGCAATGAAAAAAAAAACACTTCTTCCTTCCTGCAAAGTATCTTTGAATTCCAGAGTCTAATTTAGAGTAAATTAATGCAAGACTTTCAAAAGCAGTACCTCAATGAATTCCTGACAAGACCAGGAAGCCTACTGACAAACCAGCAGGCTCAATTGCATTTCCTTCCTTTCACATGAGTTATGGCTAGCATATCGCAGAAAGAAAATCACACAGTTCAGAATCTAGGCAACTTCAATCCCAACATAACAAGTGAGTTATGGAAATACTGAGCTAAAAGGATCAGTGATGTCGGACGGAGATGAGCTCAAACCACTGTCGCAGAGCATCTCCAAGGACACGTGGGAGGGAACTCAGGTTCCGTAGGACTAGGTAAAATGGGAATGGGAAGCTCTCCATGTACGGCTTGATTGCCAGCAGCTTTCCATCTGGACCAAAAACTGGCTGGCGAATATCCAGAATCGAGTCCTGCCACAATGAAAAAGTAATAGTTGCATGTGAATCTGGTTAACATCTGGTAATTCAGGTCCATGCTAAAGACATACATTAAAGTCCTTATGATTTTAAATGGTACTCTTCACTGGTAATCATTTGTGTTATGATTAGAGATGCAACGATATTTTATCGGTTATCGGTATCGGCTGATATTAGGTGAATCCGATATATCGGCCTAAAACGATATATGACCTGCCGATAACCGATATTGAAATTACACCTGAAGTATGCCAAACGCTAAGTATATAAAGCGAATGATGAATATTTTCACCTTTTTCCCATTAGACAACATTTCACTTGACTCGAACACACGTTCATGGGACGTT